TAAGGTCAAATTGTTAACATTTCCATCACTGAACACACTGTGGTAGATATTTTTGGATCTGAAATCTCAAGTTATTTTCAAAAAGCTTCTATGATTCAGCTTGAAGTTCTATTTGCATGTTTGACTGACTGGCTTCTGGGTATTCTTAGTATAGATAATTCATAAGTTTTGTTTTCTGGATGTTCTTTCAGTTACTCATGAGAGTTCAGTTATTTCAAGCACTTGTGGTCAATGTCATCTGTGTTAACACTAAAGTGCAATTTAAGGTGAGTAGTTTGGATAGTTGCATCTCAGAAAGGCTGGTTGAAAGTCCAAAACTGGGATGCCATACCAAATTTTGAAATGCAAATAATTTTTCCCAGTTTTTGTCTTGCTCAGATATGTTGAACATGGGTGTAGTAAATAGCTGTATAAATTACTATGAACCAAAATATATTTTTAAAGAACTCTCCAGAAAGCAAAAGGAAACTGTTGGGAAAACAGTAAAAAAGATAAACAACCTTTTTTTTTTCCCTGGTATAGCTGATTAGAAATATTTGGTTATGTGAAGAATTAAATCTTGCTTTTCTATAATTTGTTTTACAGTGAAACTGTATTTTCTCAGTTGGTGTTTAGTTTCTTTTTCTTCTACCATAAATATACACCACAAGAAAATTAGGAGGAAATGCTAAAATTTTTAATATAAGGACCCTAAAATAGAGGAAAATGAGTCCATACTCAACCAGCTGAATACATGCCATCATTTTCAGAAGGAAAATGTCTTGTTTTCTGACTAACACATTATACAATAGCAGGAAATAAAAGCTTTATAATATAGACAGTTCAGATTCTTCTGGATCAAAATCCTCTCTAGAGAACTACCACTGAAGTCAGTGGACTTATGCCAAGGTTGAATTTGACCCAATATTATTTTCAAATTGAGATTAGAGAGCAAGTGAACCAGCAAAAGACAATTAAGTCAGTGATGCACTTACTATCTTGAGTACGCAAGCAATCTGAAAGCCAGCATAATGCAGTTCTTATTCACCAGGCATGCAAATAAATCAACTTTAATGTCAATAAAGTCAGTAATGACAGATTTTATCACTAAGTTATAACTAAGCAATAATGATTGGGAAATAGGCAAGTAGATCACAGCAACTGAAGTGATTTTTTATTTTGTCCTAGGTGAAGCCAAGGGTAACTGAAAAGACTGGCCTTTACTCCCTCTATTATTATCTGCAAATCATTCTTGTCATGTTAGAAGGCAGATCATTTTTTTCTTCCCAAGTATTACTCACTGTTGTGGTGTGATTCACACTATGACCTCCTTCAGAGGTGCTACAGTCCTTTTCCAATTAGTCTCTGCATATTAGTGAGATACAGTTTAATTTTAAGGAGGTCAGGACAAAAATACATTTTTATTTATTCTGTAAATATAGTTAATAATTTAATTCATCCATCAGCAGATACCAGAGGACAAATCAGTATGATTTAACACTTTACTAGGAACAGCCCTATGCTGAATACTGTTAGACATATACAGCATTCCATTTGTGGTGGCTGTATTTCAGTGAGGAATAAAAATAAATTTTAGAGCCTTAATAAATGATAAGAGCCTTATTTCAAAAGTTTTTAACTATTTGATTGAAGGGCATAATAAAAATTCCAGATATTTTAAATGCTTTTTCTTGATTTGTAGAAGGAGGAACTCAGTATATAAATGCTTTTAAAACAGCATTATATTAAGTAGGCAGATTAATTAAAACTCACACAGATATTTTAAAAGCAAACAAACTTTTTCAACTCTTTATGATGTGGTTTATATGAGCTGGTACATTCATTTTCCTGTCTCTGTACCTTAACCAGAATGTTACGCATTTTTGTAATGCATGTAGTTGTTCTCCCCACAGGATATGTTTAACAATGGTCAATTACTATGATTCAGTAGTTTTGGCTGACATTCAACAAATGTCTGAGCAGCTAATAACGCATTTAGTTCTGTTAGTCCACCCATCTGTCCATCACATCTGCCTGTCCTCATAAAGGCTGTCATAAAGCAGCATAGCATTTCTCTAACATCCTCTCACTATTCACTTGCTTTCCAAATGCCTGGAAGGTAAACAATGTGTGCCTACAATTATATCTTTTCATAAGCTAAAGATAAATATACACTTCCTTACAAATAAGCAACAAACAAAGCATTCAACAAAAAAGCATTTCTTTTATTATTTTATTAGTGGCACTTTAATCCATCAAATTTATACGGTTATTAGTCAACAATCAAAATAGTTTGAAAACATGAGAAGATAACTTTCTCTTGTCCATAAAAATTTTACAACTAGTCACCAGTAACATAACATCCAAAAACACTGTTTCAAGAAAAATAATAATTATTAAGCTTGGCATTTGGTATCTATTTTGGACCTCACGTTGTGGATGTCTGTTACAGTGCTGTGGTGGCTACAGGACTGTACAGGCTCTTGACTGCTTCTACAATTTATTTTAGCATCTGTGTAGCTTTTTCCACATGGGAAAGTCACAAGGATATGGCTCATAAAAACAAAGATGCTGTTGCATTGGTGCGTATCCTTGTTCATGATACATTTGAAATTGTGATCATTAATCCTGCAGGTTCAAATTCATCTTCTACGGCACACCAGTAGGAAAATTCTGACTATTAATCACAATTCCACTGATTTTTAATTACTTTGTTAGTTTTGAAGTAGGTTGAAAAGATAATAATATTGTGAGATTGCTTTATGCTAAGAGGTTTCCTTCTCATTCTTACTTTTTTCCTTTGTGCTCATGACTGGCCAGCCTGGTCAATAGTTCATTCAAGTTCAGACGTTCTCCATTTATCTTCATTATTGAAACCTCTTGGTTCAGATTTAGCCTTAGAGTAAAATACAAGTGTTATGACTAAATGTAAATTTTGTAGATTTGATTAGAATAGAGAAAACACAGAGCTGACAGCATTTGATAAGAAGAGTGTCAAAAGAACTGAGGAGATGAAGAAAATATAATCTATACCTGAGAAGACCTTGTTACATTCACTTCTAGAGTGTGCAATGGATTGTAAAAGTTTAAGGTAAAAGCTTTAAGGTACTTGACCTGATTATACAGATCCCCTCAGTTTGTAAAGCTAGACAGGGGAAAAAAGACCCAGCCCATAAAAAAAGGTGTATACATCTATGAGGCTGAGCAAAAATACTGCCTATCCCAGGTGCAGCTAGAATGAGGAACACCATGTGAAGAGTGGCAGGCATCCACAAAGGCAGGTCAGCAATTCTAAGGTAGGATTGAAGAACTACTCTTAGTAGTAGTTCTGTAGTATCTACTCTGTTCTCCTCTCTGTCCTTCTTTAATTTGTTTTTATTTCCCTTTGGCTGAAATGTAGTCTGCTTTTATCAGCTTTGTTGAAGGAGTTGAGAAATTCTTGACTGGTTCTTTATTTCCAAACTTATTTCCAATAGCTGCACAAAGCTGAGCTATGACAACCACAAATTTCTTGTTGGGATGCTCTCATCCTAGCATGAAACAACTCTTACAATGCATCATTTTCAAACACAGACTTGGCATCCTGAAAAAGTCTTCAAGGAAGCCAGACCTTATTGTTTGTACCATTCCAAGAGCAATTTGTCTTTTTCCCCCCATTTACAGAAGAAACCTTTTAAAGGTGAAAGCGGAGCAGCTTCAGAAAAGACATGAGCTAAAGAGCTGACAATATCAGTTCTGCACAATAACAGCAGCAGCACTGGTGAAAGTCCAGGCTGTTGTGGTGTGTTTTTATATTCATAAGGGTTTGATTGGGTTAGTTATTTTATTAATGTTAGTTAGGTTAGAATGGTATGCTCCTTGTACTCCCCCATTTCTTTCCCTCACAGTTGGTTTAGCTCAAGTTGTTTACCCCAAAAGTTCCCGCCACTTAGCTCCCCAGTTATCTGTCAATCTCCTCACTCCTCCCTGCTCTTTCCTTGTTTGGTTCTGTTTCTCAGAGTTTGCTAACACCCCCCAGCTCTCAATCCTGTAACCACCCCCAGTTCATTCCAGAAGTTTCTGTGTGCATCACCCTAGTTTGGCTTGTCTATTTGTTCCCTAAGATTGTACCCACCCCTGTCATGCTGTTATTGGTTATTATGATCTGTGTACTCCCCTTTTAGTTTACCCTGATTGGACAAGGCAGGTTTACACCCCTGACCGCCCACTCCATATTTAAGTTGCTGTAACCCACTCAAAAATAGCACGTTTGGCTCTCAGAGCTGCATAACCCATGGCGCAGCAGTCAGCACTACCAGGGTGGCCCGAGCCATTCCCCTGGAATGCCCACTCTCATGGTGGCCACTCGGCCCTATACGAGCGGTGCTAGCCAGCAAATTTCATCTGCTCGTGGCCGTGGCAGGTAGCCGCCGCACCAGACTTTGAATCTTTCTAATATATATTGGGTATTGAAGGTCAGATTGAGTAAACTGACCCTGAAAATGAAAGCTGGCATGTCCTCTACTCCTTTTAAGCAGTCGTGAAATGGCTCATTGAGAGGAGCGAAGCAGGTAGCTGAGGAACTCAGCCCTTCTGCAACAGCACGGTCCAGTCGTCATGTTGGTCACCTTAGAGAGGACAGATGAATGGCTGTGCAGGGGTTACATTTTACACCGGTCTTCCAAATATACCAGGTATCATCAGACCAGTAATAATGTCCTGAAAGTAAAAAATTTACATTTATTCAGTTAGAAAAATAAATATTTTTTAATTACTTGGAAAGTTTTCTGTCACTTTCAGTCAGCAGATAAAAATAACAAAAAAATGTATCATGCGGATATTTTTATCTAAAGATAAAAATAAAATCAAACCAGCAAAAATCAGGTTTTTTAATATGCCTTTTCTTTCAGATATTTTTCTCTTTCACTCAGTTAATCTTTTTTTGATGATCTGGAAAGATTCTGTGTGTTTTCATCTTTAAAAGATGAAATGTCTGCAGGAGCAGGGCAAGAAATAACCTCTTCATTAGTATTTGAACATTGTAACTTCTGACTACAATCCAATTAGAGTGGTTTCTTTATTTTTTTATGTAAAGGAAGAAATAAATACAAATGTAGTTACATAGAAGGATACATAAAATTATGTAAATAAATAAAACAATAAAATAATATAACAGTGAACATATAAAATCACATACCCTTACATTTAAAAAAACATTACATATGTGTAAGCTACTAAATATATTTATATAAAAATAATTGCCCACAAAGAATATTTAAGAACCAGAGAAGTGTCTGGATGCCTTAGCCCTCCTTTCAATTAAAAACGAGTTTATTTAAAATGCTACACTTTCAGAGCAATGGAAGGCTTCGCTGAGCCTTTTATAGGACACATGACATAGAGACTATTTTTCCCAGGTCAGGCTCAGAAGGATATCTGGATCCACTGGAGTCAAAGTGCAAAGCACAAGTACAAAAACATGCTTTTGCATCAACAATTTTCTCTTTCCTTTTTGTCCTTCTTTATTCAGATGGAGCTGCTTCCTCAGTCTTCCAAGTTCAGTCATGCTGTTTGATTTTCCTTTTGAAGGAGAAAAAGACTCTGACACCAGAATCGCTGGTATTTTTTGTGTTGATGTAAATGAGGGTAGAAGTCAGCTTAAACATCCAGTCAGGGCATTTCCCTGAATAGGAGCAACTTGGGGTGACACAGAACTGCCAAAACATAACAATTCCCTGCCCTTCATCTCTGACATGAAGAGTGGGCACAGTGAAGAGGACATGATCAAAGCATTCAGCCTTCACTGATCACTCACAAAAATCTGTGTTTAAAAAAAAGGATCCTGAGCCACAATATTTAATTTCAAGACGTGAGCTAAGTGTTAGGCAGCTCTCTTTCGTGGTTTTGCTTATTTGACAAGAATTTACTTCTTTTTAAATTAATGTAAGGATTAGCCTACAATGGCTACTAGCTAGAACCTCTTGATCATAAAGTAGCTGCAATGTCATACTCACTGTGCCCTCTGTATACCTCCTTTTGATTCTAAAATTCTTGCAATTTAAAAGTTTTTCAAATTTTGGAGGTGTTTGAAAAATGCATTTAATTTCATCAGTCATGGTCATGTCAGCTCTGCTTCCTTGTCATCATCTAACTATAAACACAAAATGTCATATTCTTCATCCAGAGTGGGACCTAGATGGGTGTTCTATTCTTAGTCAAAAATTTAACATTACAACTTTTCAAAAATAAAAATATCCATAAAAACACACTTAAAATACTAAGTTTTATACATATTTTTCTTTAAATGTGTCTCTCCACGCATACTTGAAAAGAAACTCAAACACATTACACATTACACTTCACCACTCTCGGTATTGCCTTTGCAATTTTCATCAGCATCTACAGTTTCCAAGTACAAATGCAAGATCTCCCATGTATTCTCACTAAGAAAACTTAATTCCTCAGAAGGATCATGTTGATATTGTCTGTTCAACCTGTAAAGTAGTCAGAAATATAGTGATGGATGGCACTGTAGAGGGAAAAAAATTAGAGACTCTGTTATGCATTAAATTTTGAGCTCTATTTTTTGAAGATAAGAAGTGCAAAAAAAGAAGTGCAAGTAAAGGGGAAGGGAAGGGAAGGGAAGGGAAGGGAAGGGAAGGGAAGGGAAGGGAAGGGAAGGGAAGGGAAGGGAAGGAAGGGAAGGGAAGGGAAGGAAGGGAAGGGAAGGGAAGGAGGGAAGGGAAGGGAAGGGAAGGGAAGGGAAGGGAAGGAAGGGAAGGGAAGGAAGGGAAGGGAAGGGAAGGGAAGGAAGAAGGGAAGGGAAGGGAAGGGAAGGGAAGGGAAGGGAAGGGAAGGGAAGGGAAGGAAGGGAAGGGAAGGGAAGGGAAGGGAAGGGAAGGGAAGGGAAGGGAAGGGAAGGGAAGGGAAGGGAAGGGAAGGGAAGGGAAGGGAAGGGAAGGGAAGGGAAGGGGAGAACTGTCACAGTTTTTCCTAGGAAATTATTTTCCTACCTCGTGCTATCTAGAGCACATGGCTTGGCACCTCATGGTTAGGTTTTGCATAAGATTAACGCCAACTTCCAGATTTTTGCACCCATTTTCAGACTTCTAACCAGGCATGTTGCAATTGTTCATCAGTGGACTGTTATTTCCCTCTTCTCTCGTTCTGGAATGTGCTCCATGACAGTGACAGCATAGACAATGAAAAAAATAGCTACTGGATTTTATCCTGTGCCTGCTAAAAAAAAAAAAAAAAGTTTGTGCTGTTGAAATCCATTGCCAATAAAATGTTGAGGCTCCTAAATTCCTTCAAAACTTGGTTTTGAAGTATTTGGGATGTTCTTATGCAAATAATATAATAAAAACTATCCAACAAGTTGTCTAACTATTGAAAAACACTGAATATCTTAAGGCAACACAGCATTTTCTGATTTTTTTCATATTTTGATCATATATTGTTACCTTTAGCTTTCAGCAGTTGTTCACTCTTGAAGAACATACTGAATAGACAAATATTTCTGGGGTTTTTTCCTTGTTTGAGGCAAACAATCAAGAAGTTTCATTCAAGTTACCTAATAGTAATCTCAGAGAGTTCTTTGACAGCTGTAAAGGTGGAGCATTCCCCTAACCATTAGATATGTAGCTGTCTGATTTCAGCCTCAACAGGGTAAATTTTTTTCAGTAGCCAGGAGGGGGTGTGGGTGAATGGGCGTGGCCAGGGTCCAGATGTTATACTACGACGCCTTATATCATTGCAGGGCTGGGAGGGAAGGGACTCTGGCTTCCACAGGGAAGGCTGCTCCTTCTGGGTGGAAGAGTCTGGAATTTTACTTTATGTGTTAATTTCTTTCTTTGTTTTATAGCTCTTGTTATTAATATTGTTGCTGTTACTCTTCTTTTTCTTATGTCATTGCTATTTCAAGTAAATCATTCTTATCTCAACTCCTGATCCATGCTTTTTGTATCTCCTGTTGAAAGTAGAGATGGGAGTGACAGGTTTTTTTAGTGGGAGTGCTAAACTGGAGAGTACCTAACCATGACAGTATTGCACACACTTTATGAAGTTTGTAATGGGTAAGATTTTTGAAAATACTTTCCTTGTTATTGACCATTCTATTATTATTTTATGTAGAACTGAACAACACATAAATTTGTTTTCATTTTAAAAATAGTTATTGCTGTAAATTAGAAGCAAAAAACAAGCCAAAAACAGACCACTTGGCATTTCAAACTCGTTTGTTATTTTATTTCTGTAATGTTTGTTGATTATGATAATTGATCACTCCAAAATTTCAAAGATATAATTAATTGGTAAAAGTTAGTTGCCTTTTATGTGAAATAGTTTAATTAACAAAGAACATTTAAATAAATTACCATAATATTGAAGGTCACACAAATATTAGCTGCAGTTGTGCTCACTGTTGCATAGTTACATATTTCTATATAAAGACAGAAGGAATAAAATTAATTTTATCAAAATGAGAATAATATATTTCTTTATTTGGAGTTGCACTTCAAGCACCCTATTCTCCTTGGCCTTTTAGCTAAGATTAAATCTAATGTCAGTTTAATACTATATATGGCAATGTAATTTAATCTACTTAGTACTTTGGCAAAGCTGTAGCAACAATTTCATTAGATCTTTCCTTTCTTCAAATACCGTAACTATTTTTTCTGTAAAATTAAGCAACTATGATAGGAAAGTGACCTACTAGAAATTAACACAATGATTGCTGAAATGTATTGTACTCAATAGCACAAACACAGATCTTCTTCCTGCCATCATTTTCTTATAAAATTTGTGAGATTTCACACAGTAGTTTCTTGGGCATTTGGTAATAAAGCATCTTCAGGCAGACTGAAGAGAGAATTTTGTTTTGCCATTTCCCAGGTGGTGGGAAATGCCGAGTCGTTACTGTTGGCAGCGGAAAAGACATAAGGAGGATTACTTTCTTCTTCCCTGTATATTTAAATGAAAACATAGTTGTTACAGTAGTTTGCATGGAGATGAACCATCAAGTCAAATATTTTTTCAGAAAGATTTCTTTCAAGAAATTTGGGAAAAGCATTAGTTTTAGAATTCCTAAATTAAAATGTCAAAATGGTGTGTAAAAAAGAAAATATTAGAGATCTTTTTTTGTCTAACATCTATTCTATACATATTAAATATTATACTTCCAAATCAAGATTAGAATCAATTTCAACTGAAGTTGTGACCTTCCGTAACTGAAGAAAAAAGTGTTAGGTTGATGACAAGATTAATGATATTTACATGGCAAATGACAGAACTAAAGCTAGAGTACTGATTAAAGATAATTAGTCAGTGTAATGCCATTTTGAACCTATGCAAAATTGTATAAAATCAACAAATAGACAGAATTTGGATATGTTCTGAATTCATAAGCAGTACGGAAATATTTGCAAATATACTGTCATTTGTACTTACTTGGTTTTTTATGAAGATCATTTTTTCTTCTGCTCTTTCAGTAGGCCCTGAGTGTTGCTATGAATTCTGCTATAGTTCTGTAGACAAAATATTTATAAAAATCACCCTTGTCTAATATATCCCCTTGAAAAAGCAAATCAAACTGTTCATCAATTCGAACAAATGAAACAACATTTTACATGCATTAGCAACTTGGCTTTGAGTGAATTTCCTATTCAAGGAGCTAGGTCTGATTGAAACTTTTTTCAGGGGATCTGTGCTTCTTTTTGCTAAGGTGTCTGAAAACTTTTCTTCAGACAAGAAACTGACATGGTCTGTCTAATCTGCTTGGCCACATATTGCCAAAAATTAATAAGAATTTCATTACCTTTGACTCTATAACCACCCTGCTAAAAATGTAGAAAATCCTTCATTAAGTTCAAATGTAAAAGACTCATCCATAGAAGTGAGTTTGTGTTTGCATAGTTTCCACAAGAAGTCAAGTTACAAAATAATGAGGAATTTTCAAAAGTACTTTCTGCTCTAATTTGATCATTTCCTTACAGAAATCAAAGGGAATTAACTAATACCTAAACACACGAAGGCTTTATAGCGGTGACAATGAAAGTATTAAAAAGTATCAAAATATGTAGGGAGAAAGTATTTTAATTGGCAAACTAGTAGTTTTGAAAAAATATATATTTTCAGTCACATTAGCCCTTCTGTGAAACACCTCCCTGGCTGTGCTTGCCAACAGATAAACCAAGCATAAAGAGTAGGTGTCACTACCCATTCATACTTTGTGATCTGTTTCTGTGTCACTTCAGTGTGTGCAAAACCTGTCATTCATACGAAGGGGATTAATGGAAATCCTAGCTCTGTTAGTCTTTCAGTCAAAGAGTTGCACAGCTATTCTAAAGGTTTTGGACTAATATGTTTCAAAAACCACAGTTTTGCATACTATCAAGTAGAAATCTCAGCCTAAGGAATGAATACTTCTTTGGAGGTAAACTGAATTTTCACCTGGCTCATTGCACACACCACCTTGATCTTTCAAATTTCTAGTGCCATAAAATACATATTTAACTATTTCTGGTCAAATAAAAAGAAAACATACCATAATTCTTCACTGAATAGACATCCGCAAGCTATAACAATATAAAAGAAGACAGAATATTAAAACTAAACTATTAAATTTCATTAATCTTCTACAAATCAGACAGACAACAGCAACAAGAAAAAAGAAAACAGTCCTTAAAACAAAACAAAGCCCTATATAATTTATACTTTGGAGTAAGTCTGTTTTGAACAGATACCAAATAGAATTTACTCAAACTACAGAAACACCAACACAAATATCTAATGGAAGAAAATTCAATGCATTGTTAGCTCATTAGTCTCACAGGAAGATAATGATTCTAGTAACTGTATAATTAGAAATGGGAATTTGTGAGCATCTTTGTTAACCTCATATTAATTTACAAAATAAGACAAGAAAAGAAAATGCAGGGAAAATTTTGCTCCCCAAACTTTGTGCAATATACAGAATAAGTTCCACCTGTAAAAAAAAGGATCTGTCTCTCAGTTATAAAAGGCAGAGCTACAAACCAAAATGCATTATTAACCATTAAGTCAAAATTATTAAATCACATAAATTACTACCTTCACATGAAACATTTCACTTTCATTGGGATTAAACCAATAAAATCATACCTTCCTAGGTTGGAGAAAATACATATTGTATTTTCAATTTTCACAGTAATAAGAGATTAGGTAACAAAACATATCTTCATATCAGGAGATATGTCACTGCAGCTGTAGCTTTCAAAGTCTCTTTAAAACTGGCTTCCTTGATCTCTGTGAGGAGCAGAGACCTGAGAAGAATGGTATAGCTAAAGGGGCTTGATCTTGCAAGCTCTGTAAGCCTTGCTGTAAGAAGTGCAAAAAGTCAAATAATCACCACTGAAAACTTCAGATGGATTGTGAACTATTTTTTCATACTAGCAAGCAATTAGATGTCATGTTAGGGCCAGTGTTGGCTTCTGTTCAAGAAAACACTTGAGTGTATGCTGAGTTTGAAGTCAGTGGGGCTTAAGGATACCCAGCAGGATTTCCTTGAACAGAGACAGACCCTGAATTAAAAAAAAAAAACTGATTCTCAGTGAAAGGAGATTCACAATCTGGTTTTATGGGTTTACTAATTTTGTAGAGTAAGAAACCTGCATAAACTGTGGGAAACTAGGACATTATTGATCACCCAAATATTCCTCTGGTAAATTTTAAAAACTGAGGAGAAAAAAAATACTTGTTATGATAGAGAGATAGATGAAATCTACACTATATATATTTACAGGGCTTACAGTGACTGTATATATATATATATATATATATATATATATATAGGAGCCCTTTTTAGAGTTTTTAGGCATTTCTACTGTCAACAGTAAGATGTATTCTTGATTGTGCTGCAGAAAATGGGAGTAAGGGCAGCTGTGCAGTGCAGCCTCTGAAAGAAATGCTTTCAAAGTTTCTGTTGAAAGGGCTGTTTCTCAAAGGCAGCTGCTCAATGCCTCATGATGTATTCAAGGCACAGCCTCCTTGCTTGGCCCCTCACCCTGCTGCACCTGCTCCCCTCGGCTCACTTCACCTGAGTAGATTGGGACAAGAGTAACAAAGTGCTGCGCTGCAGCTTCCTACAGAAAGCTCAGTGATGCTTTCCCTGCCTCCTGAGCTGTACCACTGCAGAGCCAAGCTCCTGCTTACACACTGTATTTGCTCAGAGCATCAGGTACTAGCTGTCTGTTTGCCTTCATTTCATTCCTCCCTGCTGCAATTTCTCTTTATGCCTAAGCGACTCCTGTGTGAGAAGTGCCTTGCTACTGCTCAGAATTTCAATACAGTGCCTGAGATCTTTCTTCCATTACAAGTCTCAGAGGATGGCATTATTATCCCACTAATTTCATACATCTATACATTTGGCAAAAGTACTACCAGGCAAATTACAAGTGTATTGGCAAATGAAAACATTTGTCATCGAGATCTATTGAAAGGTGTCCACAATATTCATTTGCTGCAGTCATTTGACTTAGCACCCTGTGCTACCTCCATCAGATTTACATAAGATTAAATCTAGCTTTCTCTTTAAAATCCCTGCTGTTGTTCAGGCTGCACAGTGTCATCTCTGCACAGCAAGTACCAGAAGCTAGAATATTTACCCTGAGATTTATAAAATATTACTAATCTCTATCCTGTCATCTGGTAATTCCTATTTCACTTTTTGTTGTGTCCAGAATGATATTTATGTTTTTTAAACACACTAATTCCAAATGTTTCAAAATAAAAGTATCATATTAAATTAGAACAGCAGTCCCTAGAAATATATAACTCATTATAAGTAAAGTTTGAAACACATAGTTTTGCTGTGTTTTTCATCACTTTTGATGCTTTCAATTCTTTTCTCTAAATAATTTTCAAGATTTGGTCTAAGGCAGGGTTTTTTATTTTTGTCAGAAGGATTGAATCCTTCAGAGCGGTTTTCCATTGTTCTGGTTGTGTTGCTAGTTCAACTCAAACAATTAGAATGCAAAAGATCCTTCACAAAGGATCACACTGAGCCTTTAAAATTTCCTGGCCCATTCAGGATTTTATAGATGAGGTTCAGGTAAGTCAGGCAAAATTTTTCTCAGCAAGATCAAGAAGATTCTCCTAGATCCTTTCTATATCAAGAAATAACACTGGAGCTTTTGTTGGGACTTCAGATCACTAGATTGAAGTGCCTGAACTTTCCAGTATCTGAAGCAAATAACCAATCTCTGCAGCTATCCTCCTGCAGCACTTCATAATTACTTCAGAATGCCATGGCAAATCTACTGTGATATTTTATTGTATCTCTCAAAGGAAAACTAAAACCTGGGACCCATGAGAGGAAAAAATAATTTAAAAGGGAGTATTCTATCTGGAACTACACAGGGGGCACAAAAAAAGAATGAGGTTATTTTCTCATACAAATCTAAGATTTTAGAAGAATCTACCCTACACTCTGCTCTCTCCATTATCTGCTGCTTTTCATCCTTATTTTAGCCAGGTATGCTGTTTCTGCTCTCCAGATACAGAGTCTTTTTTTATGGAGATACAAAAACACTGGGACTCATACCTCTAGGAAGAAAGTTTCAGGAAGAAATAATTAAAAATCATTAAAAATGAAAAAATCAGGTAGTAGCAGGACTCAGTTATAAATAAAATCCCTTCTCTAGAGAGTCCTCAGTGGTGAGAATAGCTGCTCTACTGTCTTAGGGCAAGAAAAATTTTCAACTTCCAAAATGAGTGCTTTATTTTTCATTATCAAGATTTTCCTCTTATTTTTTCTGCGGTAGCCTGAACATATATTTCAAAATTTTTACAGTTTTGTTATTCAGGACTTACTCTGGCAAAACTGCAGTGGATTGGCCATTCATTTCAAAAATATTTCATTGTGCAATTTGTGAGAACTCAGAGAATCACATTCAGAGGCATCTGGTTGGAACAGGTGTTGCAGAAAATTATAATCCTACCTTGATTAAAACTGTTGGGGTTTTTTACCACCACCCTCCAGTTATGCATTACAAGTATCCAAATGATAAAATGTATAGTCAGAAGTAACAATCTGAGGTATTGTCAGGAGAAATATCAGGAATAACTTCAAGCTTGTGAACAAAAAAAAGTTGCTTTCAGGGAGTAAGATTTTCACAAAATCTTCCTCTACTCATGGATTTTCTGGAAAATTCAGGTTTGTTTCTAGCAGCTTGGTTTCTCTGCTCATTTTCAAAACAGATTTCAAATGAAGAAAAAAGTTGAATATGAAATAAAAATTGCTTTAATCAATATTGAACACATTGTTACAGTTGAGTAAGGGAGATTTAAGACTAGTTGATTGCAGTCTAAAGCCTTTATTCTTTTATCAACAAGCAACAAAAGCAATAAAATCACTAAGATATGTAGCTAAAGCTTGAATTTCTGATTTTCCCCCAGTCTTAAGGTGACTAGATACACTGGCTACCTCATTTAGTATTGGTTTGGACCAACTTAAGACTTCATAAAGGAAACAGATTTTAAGAAAATTCAGAGAAATTAAGTGAAATCAAATACCTTTCAAAAGCTTCACTGTATTGTCACTAAGTAATCTGTGGGCTTCCTGACATTGAAGTAGGGACAACAGTTTTCATGACAACTGATATCTAATGCCTTAGGAGGCTTTTTCTTAGTCTTGGGTTTTTTTCTTAGATCAGAAGGTGTAGAGAAATGTGCTACCCACAGAAGTAGGACTCTGCTTCTGTCCGCACCCTCCAGCATTGCAACCAAAAACAGATATGAAGCTTCAGCAGCCATAGACACCCACAAGCAGGGTGTGCAAGGAGAAGCTGCAGCAGTAGTACACAACAGATAGGGCAGAAAAGTGACTCTCTTAAGGGGCATCCACTTGATGGCCTGAGAGGGAGCCATGAGTTACTCCCAAAGAGATTGTGGCTGGTCACAAGAGGGAAATTTTCCACAAAGACAACAATCAGCCACTGGAATAATCTCCCAAGGGAGTGATGAGTTCCCTGAAATTGGGCACTTTTAAGATTCAGCCAGACAGGGTGCTGGACCATCTTGTCTACACCATCTTTTTAGGGAGAAAGGCTGGAACAAAGGAACCTTGAGGTTCCTTCCAACTAGGTATTCTATGATTATTAGACAGTGAAAGCAAAATAAAGACAATTTCGTTCCATACATCTTTACTTTTTATAGATTACTCTATTAAATATGAGGGAACAACTAGTTTTTTTACTGAAAAAGTGCATTTTCCAACTCAACTGCAAAAAAAGTGCAGGAAAAAACAGTGTTCAAAGAGGACAGCAATTGCTATTTCCATTCCCAGTAAAAAAATGAACAGGAAAAACTGGATAGTACAAGTAAAATTGCAAAAGTCATCACGACAAATGCACTTTAATACATTTTACAGTTTTAAAGCACTTCACAGAATCACAGAATCACCTAGATTGAGATCATCAAGTCCATCTAGTCCTTCAGCTACAATACTGGAGTTTTGTAAAGCTGCAGTTTATCCCTGAACCAGCCCCATTGACTTTAACTTGTTTTATTCTTTCAGAGAAGCAGACAAGGTTCAGATAGATTATGGCCTGGTTTTCATTGGTTTCAAGTCCTCTCAATTCCTGCTGAAATAATGAGAATTGAACTGTCTTGATAAGCAAAATGAGACCAGAGATTGAATTACTGTTTATATCATCTGCCCATAATATAGCAGTGACAGAAAACATCCACCCCACCTCCTCAGTCAGGCAAAAGTTAGATAAAACTGAGCATAAAGTGCACTGAGCATAAAGTGAGTGAGGAACATTGAGCAGTGGGGGTGTTCTCCCTCCTAGCACAAGACAATTATGCAAGATAAGCTTCTTGACAATCAATATTTGACCTGTATTTGTAGATTTGACTCAGAGACCTATGATTATACACTCTTGGCAGATTTTCATTTAAATTACATTTATTTATTTATTTTAGGGGTTAACAGCGTTTTTGGCACCATGCACAGTAGTTATCCAGATGGTCATCTGTTGTAAGGTCAAGCAAAATAAACAAAAGGACTTTTATGTATTCCTTCCATTAAAGCTTAATGGTGCCAGTACTATTGTCTCTATTGTCTCTATTTTGATATCTAAAAAAACCCCAAATATATATATATATATATATACACATATATATATATATGCACAGTATTGTGAAATAAGACCATAAAGCTGAGTTACTTCTGAGGAAGTTTAATTTATCCTGAAATTGCAGAATTAATTACAGAATCAAAAAATATTCTGTGTTGCAAAGGACCCTCAAGGATCATCAAGTCCAATTCCTAAGTGCAAGGTTAGTACTGGGATGGAATGTACAACCTTGGTGTTATTATCATCCAGCCCTAACCAACTGAATTAGTCTCAGGGTCAATGGACAAATGTGCTTTTTGCTGCTTGAAAAGCTCTGATCTAATTATACATTATATTTTGGTACTGTATGATCCTATGAAACAGAAAAGCAAGATCTTGCATGTTCTATTGTACTGAAGTAATTTGCTCATATTATTAGCTTTACAAAATGATGTGATGCTGTACTGATAACATACCACTCATTCTCTCTGATAGAAAGTAGAAATTTTTAAATCTCATTACCTATTTTGGCTGACCAAAGTAAAAATGATTAGAATAATGTTCTATCAATGTACAGATCATTTCTTTAATCATGAAGAAGCGGAGAGAGCAGAGCAACTTTCTTAATTACTCTTTATCTGGCTATATCATGATCTTAGAATTATTATCATCTATACTTGGCCCTATATCCAAGAACCTACCACATTCATTTTTTTTAATAAATAGTTATATAACTATTTCAGATCAGAAGGGTAATTTATGAGATGTGAAGTATTCAATTTTCCGAGACTTGAAGTCTTTCACTGAAGTCAATTCTATCTTACTCAAAAATGTGCACTGTCATGAGAAGTAAAGGAAAATAAAGAAGTAACTTCCTAGCCCCTTTTTTCTCAGCTAAAAGACATGGGGGGGCTGAAAAACTTCTTCTCCTTTTGTAAATATTTTTTTTTCTAACATGAGGAAAAAGAATTGTATCACAGAACACCTAATCTAAAAGTCGTTTTCATGTATAACCTACACTATGCAAAAGGCAAGCTGCCCTCACATGCTGGGTGTTGACATGGAATCAGAGATTAGTTCTATTAAGTACAGGAAATAAAGCATGTAATTCCATCTCAGCTTAATGTCACCTATATCCAACACTCTGTGATACAATTATCCTTCATTACTCTGAGCCTCTTTGCTTTCTCTCTCTCCACTCTGTTAATATTCACATTTTTGTGACTAGTGAGTGAGCTCTTTTAGGAAGCTAATCCAGCTAAAAATTAACCACCAAAACTAAATTATTAGCACCAAAGAAAAGGAAACTTATATTTATGATGACTTACCATAATAACAATAGAATCCAGTCAATATTTAAATTGAGCAGGTTTTGCCATACAAAGTGGCAAATGAAAATCTACATGTCCTTTGTGTGACTAGCAGCAGAATGGACACTGTTCAGCATTTGTGCAAGTACGCAAATATACTTCAGCTGTTCCCCTTGGGTATACTTAAAGTTGCTGCAGATTAAGCACAGAAATTGGGAAATATGGTCACAGTTCTGGTAAACAACTTTTAAGACAAAATAAAGACTACTGACAATACCATAGTCAAGTTTAAAGTGCTTACTCATATCTTGAATGTATCTTCTACACAATGGTTCTCAGAACTCAGAATAAAATCCAAATTTTATTGAGCAATAGTAAAATTTACTGGGACTCTGTTCATTGAATTGCTTAGTATCAAAACCCTATTGTAAAATTACTTTCAAAATTCAACAAAATATCGGTTTTACAATGATATGAAATAGTGCTTACCTTAAGATAAACTGCTTATCAGATTTAAGGCCTTTATTTACTTTAGAATATTATCTATTAATCTATTTTTCCCTGTAATCATTTTCTAACTTTATTCTGTAGATGAAGCAGTAGAAACAACTTTTATTACTGTTCCTTAGGTTTCAGTAGGGTTTGGGTTGTTTTCAGTATTACATCTTTCAATCTAAATTTCCTGTTTCCCAGAGAATTTGAACTAAGATAGAAAACATCTTTTCAAAGCATTTTCTAGCAACACTTAAAGTATAGGTAAATTTCTAATACAAAAATCTGCATTAAATTTCAAGTAAAGGCCCCTATGCACTTTCTAGTCAGGTATGATTCTAAAATGGAAGCACAAAATATTAACTAAAAAAGCTAAAATTTTTCCATTTTAAGATGAACTGTAAATTGCTTTGAAGCTTTATTAGCATGAAATATGTTTGTTTGCCTTTAATCTATGTTTGAAAACACCATAAAGAGCAATTAGAATTGGTATTTACCTTCCCTGAAACAATATGTAGTTTTAGATGTATTTAATAAGTCCATTGTGGAATTTTTTCAATTTAGCAACTAATATTTCTCAGAAACTCTAGTAAAATATTTATTCATGCAAAATTTTTAAACATCATTTAGTGAGAGATACAACAAAAAATATGCCAACCACTTTTTCAAATAAGAAACGGAATTTAAATGGGCTTTGATATTTTCTGTTTACATAGTTGTGTACCCAGCAGATATTGTTCATGCATCTCTTACACACTTTTCTGTTATTTATAGATAGTGTCCTATATAATTAAAATTATGAAAATTTCTATTGTAGAATTATTTTTAAGAAAATACTAAAATGTTCTATGTGCTTATTTGCATGTATTTATTATATATGCAATTGGACATACATGAATAAACTAAAGAATTCTATGCCTCTAACAGTTCTTCAAACACGCTCTCCCTGGAACCGGGATCAATTTTTCAGTTAAAGATATTATGATATTTTCTGCCATGTACAAACACAATGGTCACTGAATCACTTATATATATGCTATAGCAAGGACTGCAGCCTTATTTCAGAACAAATTAAAAAGTCACACAACAGATAAATCTGAAAAATACCATTATCTCTTCCTTCCTGAACTAAGGCCCACCATGAACAAACTGGGATGTTTTCTTTTTTTTTTCCCAAGGGGGATGCAGATTCCTGAAGAGTCAGTTCCTCCCAGAAGCAATGCAGTACTTGTACCACACATACTGGAGCAAGGACTTTGATCCTCTAGCTGGAAAGATACAGTCAAAACTCTGTCCTTTCACTTCATCTTTGAATCATGCTTCCCAGTTTCATCATGGCAAGTGTCCCTGTCAAGAATTTTGTTTCATTTCAAGCTTTGAAAATTAATAAGACTTCTGCAAAACACACAGTCTCCTTGGTCACTGCACTCTCCCAGACTTTCCATATGTTATCAATAAAACAAATTGTGCAATACAAAATTGCACAATACAATACCAAATTCTGTTTGCTATCTTCAGTTTGCCCTACTGACATCTAGCTACCTCTGCTCTCTTTCCCTCCCATTTTATACCATAACATGAAATTACCACAGATAAAAAGACTCCAGCTGGTAGCTGTAAAAACTGACTAGACGAGTTTTAGGTGATGGGAATTCTGAATAGCAAATTCTTCCCTTATACGGCTTATACTCTCTCTTCCCATCTCCAAAAGATGGTACTGCGGAATTCAGTATCAGGAGCAACTTTTTTGGATAGATAACTTTTCCCTTTGTGTCTCAAAGTCAGATTTGTAAGCCATAAAATTCCCTTCAAAAGGCCTGTGAGTTTTAAAAGATGTCATTTTCCAGTCTCCAGTGTCTCCAGTCCCTCACACAACTCTAAAGGTTTATTATCTCAGCTTTTGTTATAGATTAGGCCAGTTGTGACACAACACATGTGGAAGGAATCTTGTCAGGATAAAAATTTAGATGTGTTTCTCTCAGGAACACATTCTTATCCCTTGCTTTAGGTATGTTTAACTAGATTCATAGATTCCATTAGGTTAAAATCAGAAGGAACCTTTTCCAGCATCTAACCTGACAATATACACAGCAGAGACCTCTAAGTTTCTCCGCTCTACCTTGCACTTCACTGGCACCTATCTTCTACAAAGATTGAGAGCCTTGAACTGAAACCCTCAAGAGACGCTGAATTCAGCATTCTCTTTACTAGGTTGTTCCAGGTGTTAATCGACTCTTCTCTACTCATTTTTAGTTTCAATATATCTGGCATGATCTACTGAAAATTTTTTATGGTTTCCCCTTGTTAGACCTCATGGTCATTTGGTATTCATCTTTCTCCCTCCACACTTATACCATGTAATCATGCCAACTCTCAAAACTCTTCAATAAACTACACAGATTTTTCTCTTTTTATTTCTTGCTGTGGAATATTTTTTTTTAATTCTCTGTATTTCTATTGGTGTTCACTTTGAAATGCAAACACTAATACTACATAAAGCATTTTAATACATTGTTTCCCAACTACAGGGACAAATGTTCCTATCCCTACTCATTAGCCTCTTTTTACAAATTCAATATTATAGTATTGCTTTGTGTTATGGCCTTATTTTGAGAGCTTTTGTTGAATTATCTACCCATTATGAATTTGAACACTTTCTGAGCCACTATTTCAGGCTGCAGTAGATGTGGCTTATATTTCTTATGGTTAGGTATGTGATTTTAGATGTTTTCATTAAACATTTTTTCTAATTATTTTAGTCCACAATTTTTTAAATTTAATTTTGTATGCCATGCTTTTTCCATTTCCATACTTGCCATTGGGTCAATCCTTAAGTCAGTCAAAGAAGTTATCACTGGGCTTTATAACACATTTAGGTTGCATTTGGAAAGATGCAATTTTTATATCTATCAGCTAATTCCTAATCTGCTAGACTTTTTTGTTTTACTAATACAGTAATAGTGATACTTACCATAAGAAAAGTGCTCTTTCTTCATATTAATGATGAGATGATAAAAACATAATCAAAAACTTCACAGGAGATTCAGGATTGTATCCAGCAAAGTGCCTACGGCAAAGCATGGAGTAGATTAAAAGGGCTGCAATCAAAAATTTCTGCTTGCTTATGTGGCAAGCAAACACTTGCTTACCCATGTGAGGACAGAGGTGCCTAATATTACTTGACTTTAAAGTTATATTCTTTCTATAGATTCTACTTTTGGCACAAGTTTAATATCGTGCCAGTACAAACAGCTGAGTATTTCTTATACCTAAGCCTCTGTGAGATGTAGAAATAAGTGTGGATTAACCTCACTGGACTTCAGACGTCTGCTGTACAGATGTTCCATCCAAGCTAGTCACTTGCTGTTTCAAGAGAAAAATATAAAAGTTTAGAAAAGAGTTTTCCAATTCACTTCAGAAGTGTATACATAGGATGAGATGTTCTTCTTTTCTGTTCAATTATGACGAGTCTGCATGATTCTGTCATGCATAGACATCTATATTTGGTTATGAGGAATCTATCTTAAGCTGCTACATAGCCTAAATCCTTGAGAGCTGTGATGCAATTCTCATATTTTCAGTGTGTTTACAATAGGGTATGAAAATATTTATTTAAAGAAGATTCTCAAATCTGCTTTTGATATTTGCTCATAATCTAGAGGATTACACTCACAGAAGCATCTAAAGTTGTTTCATTCCCATCCTCAGCCTGACAGAAGTTATATCTCTCCATATCTAAGAATTTTCCCTCAAAATGAAGGGAGCTGAAAATTGCAATTTCTTCCAGACTTAGATTTCTTGGACAGTAGTTTGGATTTTGATAATGTCATATATTTTCTCTCTGTTCTCCAGCTCCTGACAGTCAAGCAACTGGACATATGGATACATCCTCATGCAATACAGGATGGCAGTGATACATAACGCCTAGTACATGCAAATCTCCAACTTGAAAGTAATTCAAAAAGGTAATTAGAGTTAAACAAAGGAAAAATTTTGTCAATCAAACAGATAAAAATACACACACAAATCCAATTCACCATAGTTCCAAACTTAATTGTGCAAGCTGTTGAAACACTTGCAAAATATTGGTAAACTAAACTCCATTTTACTTTTTATAGCCTCTGCTTTGCTGTGCACATGCTTGTTAGTTCATTTACATAGAAATTAGTCTCAGAGACATAAAGCTTTTCATTTTCACTGAATAAAACTTACAAGCATTATGCATGCTGAATTGGAAAGAGAAAGAACTTCTGAAGAAAAAAGTTATATAGCTCTGTGATTTACTGAAACAGAATTTTCAATTAAATCTGGAAATTTCTGGGTGTTTGTAAGAAGAGAATTGTTTGTTTCTGCTATACCTAAACTGACATCTTACTGAAACAATAGTGTTTCTATAGTGTGATTTGCAGGGTCCATAAAGTTACTATTATTAATGAAAATATGGAGATATAAGCCTAACTTCTGTTAAAGAAGTGAGTTCTGTGGAAAAGATATGCTCACACATATTGTCCTCAGGAAAATCCCAACACATCTCAATCTTCTTTAGGAAGAATTAAGTGACTCTTGTGTGACAAGAAAGACAGCCAGTAAAGGATGTCTCATGTCCTTCTCCTGAGGCTGTCCTGACTAATGGAATCCACCAGCAACACAAAACAGAGTACAATCGTAGAATCAGATAGTAGTTTGGCTCAGAAGAGACCTTTAAAGACCACGTAGTCCAGCCCTGTTGCAGAAAGCACGGTCATCTTCAACTGGATCAGGTTGCTCAGAGCCCAGTCAAATCTAACCTTCAGTGTTTCCCGGGTGGGATATCTACCAACTCTCTGGGCAGCCTATTCCAGTGTCTCACCACCTTCATTGAAAAAACTTCTTTCTTATATCTAATATATAATATTTAACCTAAATCTATCCTCTTTTGGTTTCAAATTGTTACCCCTTGTCCTGTCACAATAGATCCTGCTAAAAAGTTTGTCCCAGACCTTCCTACAAGGCCTCCTTTAAGTACTGGAGGGATACAATGAGATCACCCCAAAGGCTTCGCTTCTCAAGCTGAGCACTGACTCTCTTAGCCTTTCCTCATAAGAGAGGTGCTCCATCCCTTTGATTATCTTGTGAATCTCCTCTGGAGTCACTCCAGCAGCTCCATGTCCTTCCTGTGCTGGCCCCCCAGAGCTGATGCAGCCCTGCAGGTGGCTCTCAGCAGAGCAGAGGGGCAGAATCCCCTCCCTGGCCCTGCTGCCCACGCTGCTTTGGATGCAGCCCAGGACACGTTTGGCTCTCTGGGCTGGGAGTGCCCATGGCTGGCTCATGTCCAGCCTCTACCCACAGCAGCCCCAAGTCCTTCTGGGCAGGGCTGCTCTGGTCTGTCCATCCCCAGCCTGTGCTGGTACTGGGGGTTGCCCTGACCCAGGTGTAGGACCAGGGCTCGGTCTTGTTAAACCTCAGGAGATTCCCATGGGCACACTCCTGGAGCTTCTCCAGGTCCCTCTTGATGTAATCCCATCCCTCAGGTGTATCAACCACACCACTCAGCTTGGTGTCCTCAGGTTTGAGTTGGGGGCAAAAGCTTTCTTTTTTGGAAGTTCCATGGCTTTTCTCTTTTATTCAATGTATGCTTAGATAATTTGACGATTTGTTACAGATGCCAGTAAGAGACCAACGCAAGAGAAGAATTGCAGGAGCTTTTCTGGTATTTTGGGGTAACCATCTGGTAATGCAGATAGAAACTTAACATTGCTCTTGCACCCTTATGCAAGTAAACCAAAGGAAACACAAACAAGTTAAATCAATACTATTTGGATTTCTTCTAATATTAGCACTGTTATTTTCAAATATTTGCTTCTAAAATATTTCTTTTTGGTAAGGGTGGTAACACTCTGTGATTGATAGATTACAAAAAATAGATTAAGAGCCAATAAACTTCAATGGATGAAGAAAGGAAATGTTCAATCACATATATATTTGTTCCTGTATATATTTGTCAGGTCAAGCCTACAATTGAACATGACTTTAAATATCTTTAAAGGATTACATATATAATTTTTATATGTTGCTAGTTAGAATATATTTTAACGATGAAGTGAATATGTAGTTTATGTGTGATTTAATATATTTGCCTTTGGGGTTAAAACAAATTTATTTTTCTTTTTTAAAAAATTTGTATTTCAAATCAGTTTGAAATAATGTCTGGAATTTTTAGGATACACTTCTTTTTTAAAAAATACAAACATAGAATTACAGGTCTGATTTTACATAAATCCAGTATTTTAAACTTGCAAATATAGTTAGTATAGGCATGGAATTACATACTTATTATATGAAAGTATTGGAATTTTTATTTTGTCATTCCCTTACACATATATGAATATTGCTTTTTATCACAATGAAGTTTCAAGCAAGGTATTTTTAGAACCTTACCAGGTATAAGTTTTTATGAATGAAGATGGAAAAAGTTACCTAGATGCTAAAAATTTTTTTACATTATGGCTTTTACTGAGTTAGTATCAGACTTTGTGATGGTGTTGATATATTATGTTATACTATGTTCACAATTATAAAATTATTTCTAAACAATTCAATTCAAAATTTATCCAATTCACATTGAATAAAACCTCACCCTAAAAGCTGTCAAAGAGAGTATTGTAAATGATAGCATGATGGCTTTCATAAGTGAACAAAATAAAGTAGTATAAAATAATGTAAATAATTAATGTTTATGCTATGCAAGACTTTGTCTATCTTCCTTACTAATTTTTACATTTTCATCTAACTTAATATACATTTTTTTGCAGTAGAATTTAATATAAAATTGTGCTGCCTCATAAACTGAAATCATAGCTTCCAAGATTTTGATGGCTTAGGTCATTGTAATAAGAAATACATTTTAACATGAGCAGGCATCTTTGTATGAATAGTGCATAACTGAATCTGCACTATTAGAATTATCAGCATGGATATCAGTCAGACAATTCTAGCAAAACACAGGTACATCCTTCCTATGCTGGGTAACACTGAAGAATGATAACTGGACAGAAGATGGATGAGTGTCTAACTACCTTATATACCACTTTAGGTATCTAGTGGATCAGATGAATCAAGATTTTCTATTCCTGTTGTCACATAAAGAAATTTCAGAGTATCAGATTGGCATTTTCTCTCCTCTAGTATTTTATTATGTAAACAAAACACTCTGCTCTGTTTTGATTTCTGTCTCCAGACAACAGCAGTTATTAGTCATTCTAGAGCCAGATGTTTATTGGGTGTAAATCTGGATAAGGTTTTATAGAAACACAGTAATCTAAACAACCTGAGGTTTTTGCTGTCCTTGAGCTATGTCTCAGAGTTATACTAGAAATAAGAAAACAGCAGAGAATCAAAAACCACAATGTGAAAGAGAAAGACTGAAAGTATTTGGCTTACTCACAAAGATTCAGTCTTTGTAAATTCTGGAGATATAAACAGTGGCTAAAAAGGACTTGTTGTTCTTTGATTTACACAATATATTTATTATCCTTAAGCCCTTCATAAAGAGACACCTTACAGTCCCATGTGGGGACTGAGAAGGAAAGATACCAATGTCATTTTCATGGTATTTTTTAAATTAAGATTTTCCATATACAGTATGTTAAACATTAACACTTTTTCAGCACACAAGACACGAACAGGGTCCTGAACCTGCTGCAACACTTGGAAAGCATTTTAGAAAAGCAGAAAATTTTAATTATTAAAAGGTCACATGGGTGGTTCTGCTCTGTTTGTCCATAACACTCTCAATATGGCGCAATTGTCTCAGCATTCTAACACCCAGCATCAGCAAACTGTGCTGCTTCCACACTAAACCAGGGTGTTTTCCAGCAGTCAGCTAATTGGAAAATTGTAATAAAGTGTAAAGCATGTATTACAGCCCCATATGATTCCAGCTTATGCCAGCACTTCCCTTGCTTCTTCCTGATTTGTTGTATTTCTCCTTCCATAGTCACTTGGACTCATAAACTGATCTCACACATACCAGCATTTAGTCTGTTTAAACATCCTTTTATGTGAAATTAACAGTATTTCATGGAAATCGCCCTTCTTTTTACATGCTTTACTATTTAAGTAGTTTCCAGTGATTACAGAATGCCCATTCATAATGCTAAAGGGTGGAATCACATTGCCTGTAATTTATAGGGACTACATTATCATGTGGAAAATATGCTCAATACTCCACTCTGTTACTGTTATTACTACTGCCCTCACAATAGTTGCTTAGCTGCTATTCTTAAAGTCTGAAAGCTAAAAGTTTAGCATCATAATTCCAACATTCCCTGGTGAAGTAAGTGAGTATCCAAGTGAAGAATTCTCAAGTCACAGCAAAAGAAGTAGTTATCCTTTCAGGATAAAATACAGTAATTGCTTTATAGCACTCAGCAGGAATCTGTGTAGGCAAAATGCAGAATAATGGAATAAAATAATGAGCCAGAGATGAAATTTATCCAGAACTGAATTTGGTACCTTTCCATGACAGAGAGAGATGAGGCTGTACCCCACCACAAATTACATACCTTTTTATGGTATGACTTCACACTGACTCACTGAAGGTGCTACTTACCATGTTTCCAAATCTACTTCCAGCTGCAACTAGTTGTTACTCAGATTTCTAAACTCAGAGTGAAGTACTGGCCCAGCCACGGCCTTTCTAATTTATAAAAGCTGAAGAGACTTCAATATATGGCTATACTGCAGCAGTAACTTGTTGACTTTTCTACTCAATAATTGAGTCAATAGTTTTCTGTATCTTTCCATTTTCTTTGAACTAATCCATCATGCTTAGATTCAGTAAATACCCTGTGTCATCCACTGCTCCAGACATCTGTACTCCTAAAATTCAGGTGAAACATTTTTAAACTGCTTATACGTTATCTCCAAGAGCAGCTCCTTCACCTTTGTTCACATCCTTATCTAATTGCGCTGACCTTGAAAGCATGGGCAGGTCGATCTGCTTAATCAAGAACTGGCAAATATTATAAACAACTCAGACCCCAAATGTTCTAAATCTATCCCATTGACATCTTATTCACCTTCCTATACTGAAGAGCACTAAAGCTTGGAAATAGCACTGAAGAAATTGCACTACTATTAGGAAGCTGGTATTATTACTATTCATTTTGGCATGTTCTATAGAACAACAATATTGATTTGTGTGCTATGATTATGGAAAACGGTTGCGTTTTACTGAGAATGTACTTGAAATTTTGACAACAGGAGAAAAGGCATTTCCTCACTCCTGCTGGGAATGTTCCACTGCAACTTTAAAGCAAACTTAGCATCTTCATGTTATGAATATTTTTATATACTTTGTATTTTCATTTACAAGGAGGTTTCACAATAATTTGCGAAGGCAAGCATTACCAGCACTTTTGAAGAAATGGCAGCTTCTAATGCACATGGGAAGAGGGCAAGACTAAATCTCATTCAAGTGGATATTTCATTCAGTCATTTTCCCTGGCCTAACAGTCCTCAATTATTCTGGATCTACTGAAGTCTAACTTAGGTTTAGTGCAATAGTATATTTAGTATCACCATACTCAGAAATCTATAGTACAGAGTAATAAGGAAATACAGAGTGCAATGTAACACTTGCTCTTAATATAGAAACATGAGCACCACATAATTCATGGTTTATGCTTTTCCATGCACAGACTTTTGTTGGGGGGCACTCTGAAGAGTCATTGTTTTCACTTAGTGCTAATTTAAAAGCTGAACATGTTTATAACAATTTTAAATTAAGTTCTCCATTTCTATTTTAAAGCAATTAGCATGCTTTTGTGCTATTCTATTAGTTGCAAAATCAATCAAAGAAGCTTTCCATTATTTTCCTTTTTCTTAAGTCAGAGACATTCTCCACAAGGAAACAAAGACAGGTTCAGTCTCTTTTGTTTTTCCTTTATTTCATAGGCTAGTCTTTGTTCATGGGAAAATTCTTTTGGCTTTTTTATAGAAAATGGACATAGTTTTGATCTGAGGAGAAATTAACCCTGCTTTCCTACAGGCAGTCAATAATTGCTTTCTACAAAAAGGAAGAATAATACCTCCCATCACTCTTCACAGATAATATTAAAAATAATAGCTATGTTTTCCATTAGTTATTT